ATTTCTTAAGATGGGAAGCGTGGAAAGCTTCAGTCAAGGGAAAGATAGTTCATGTTGATCATCATCAGGAACTACAAACACCTCACCCCCTCCAACTATCAAGGCGGCCCAAAACATCATGGAGAGGGATTGAAAACAAACTCTCAAATGCCCTGACAGTAAGGTTAAAATAAAACCCAGATGCTTCCTTCTCATTCACAGAGGAAAAATGTTTCTGAGAAATCGGAAGATAGATGTTGGCTTAGCATTCGTTCTGGATCAGGTTCCGCACTCCTGAATGCTGCGCGTGGTCAGAGACCGTCTGCTTGAGCTAGTGGCTGGCAGGTTTTAGTAATAAATATGAGTGTGCAAAACACACCATTCTAGAAGTGGAACCTTTCACAGATCATTGGAACCGTCTGTTTTTCTTCCAGAGGCACCGTTCTGGCTAACTCCAGAAATCTGCCCAACCCCATTCAGAATAACTGGATCGGCACATTCCAGAATTAAAATGGAGTGTTTTGGTGCCCCCCAGAAAACGCTATTCCTGAAATGTTCAGATTTGCCCCTGGAAGTGGGGGGTTGATTTGGCCAGGGGTGATGTGAGAATTGAATTGGTTAGTCCTTTGAAGGACACATTAACTCCTAAGGGAGGCCTCTGACCTGTGATGGTGATGTCATAAAAAGCAAGGGAGGACTCCAGGCTACCCACCCTCGTGGTCAAAGAGGGCCAGAATGAAACCAAGGAACATGATCCAGCAAGAATATCCTTTGCTGCTTTTGAATGTTTGTAGGTGGTTTTATTTTCTGTTCGCTTCACGCCTCTGTCTCCCCCAGTGCGTGAAGATTCCAAATTGAAAACGAATGATTATAAGGAGGAATCCAGGTAAGAAGAGATGTGGTGGTGGGATCCAAGTGTTGAGTCCATCTCTCCAAAACTTTCAGGGAATGCCAGAGATTCATCTGCTTTGACACATGTGTCTTATTAACAGAGCAGTTGGTATCTCTAATCCAGATTCCTGTCAGCCTTACCAGATAGATCAGGCAGAAAACAGAACCAGATGAGCTAATTCTACTTTATTGTGTACGTACATTGACAGAATCTTGCAAGGATGAAAGTACAATTCTCCCCTGTCTCCCCTACAGCCTGAGAAACTAGGGAGGGTCCCTTCTGAGCCTCTTTCTCCACCCATTATGCAGTTGTGGGCTATGCCCTCTCTTATCTGACTGTTCCCTAGGCAGCGTCTCTAGGCCCCGTCTCCCAAGGCCATTCTCACAAACTATTACAATCCCCCAGCAGCTCCAGATAGGGTTGGAGAAATTCCAGTCCATCCCCATGGGGAACTATGACTAATCTGGGTTGATGGTGGTAGGCTCTGTGTGGATTCACCCATGCCAAAACCCAGTGGTCTGCTTAACCATCATTTGTTGGATATACCATAGTGGTCTCACCTAGCATGCTGAACCAAAATCAAGCAAACCATTGGTTGGCTTACTTCAATTTATGTAAGGTTGTCACTGAGTCCTTTTTTACACGAACCACACAGGTTATATGTCTTGGATAGATTGCCTGCTGTGTTCCCCACCCTGCTTAGCAGTCATGGCCCTACGGCAGCTAGATTCGGTAGATTCAAGCAAGCTAGATTCCTACAGTCTTATTTATCAGACTTATCGAAGGAGTGGGGTGGGTGGGAAACAGGGCTAAGTTGCAGAAATCTTGAAACCTAAATAATTTATTTCAGCAACCCGTGTATCTTCAAGTTCACGTGACTCAAGACCTAGGATTCCTTGATCTTCTTCCTTACCCCCTACTGATACAGTGGGGAAGTGAATATCCATTTTCCTAGTAGAAGATAGATGTATAAATGTTCCAGGACATGCAATCTTTGGTAACCCACCAACCTCTTAGAAGCCCATTACAACTCTGTGGTTTGCTTGTCTCTTTTCCAGCATGATCTTGACCATCCTATTCCCTCTCCACTGGTGGTAAGGATCATTGCTCCCTGGAACTTCTCAGCGCCAAGAACATTTTCATCCATCAGAAGCAAACAGGAAGTGACCAGCTGGCCAGAGAAGGCAGAGACAAGGAGCTTTATGGATGACAAAGCAATGTACCAACGCACAGGTCCACCACCACTACCACCCCCTGTCCCCGGCCCATATCAAGCCTACCCACCAGGATATCCAGCCCCTTATGCAGCTTATCCACCACCTGCAGGAGGACCAGTCTATAACACAAGGCCGGTCCATGTAGTGTATGTGAGGGAACGCTATAACAAGGACGAGACATGCTTAGCTGCCTGTCTGCAAGGCTGTTGTGCGTTCCTCTGCTGTTGCTGGCTCTGTGATCTCTTGTCACGCCTCTCCCCGCCCCCCTGAGAAGATGCTTGGGGTCTCAGCGATCAAATGCCCAGCTAGGCATCTTCTTCTGACATGGCTTTCCAGGAGTGTAATAAACAATCAGCTTTGTGCCAGGGACAAGGACCTGTGTCTGTCCAGTTCCAATGTTAATTTGATGGCGGTCAATGACCAGCAAGGTTAAAAACCCAATATCATAAGCCAAGGCATTAAAATTGTGCCCTGGTCATATAAAGTCTAAATATGAAGACTTAAAAAGAAGAGAAAGGGGGAAATGGAGTAACACCCTAGGAAGCATAAGGTAAAACAGAAAGAGAATAGAATAAAAATATGTAAAATAAAAGGGAAAAGACTTCATCATGTCATCCTTCCCACATTAGGGCATTTTACGCTTCGTATGGACATAGGTGCAGATAGGAACTCAGTGACTAAACATTTGAATTTTGTGTCTGTCGAGAGATAGTTCTGGATAATGTTGATTCTGCGAGCTTCCAGAGAGGTTGGACTACAATGCTCATCATTCCCAGCCGGTCTGATTTCCAGAGATGAGACAGCCTACACCCTCATGGGCCTTTTTTTAATATCTCACCTCGCTCAGCTTCTATTTCTATTTCCTCTTTCCTTTTACACGGGTTACTTGTAGATCTTGAGCATCACCTGAATCCAAGTCATGTTAAAGCAGAGCGTCTTAATGCATACATTTTGCCCAAAAGTGGTCGCTGGTGCTCCACGTGATCTGGATCAGAACAAAAAGTCCACCTGCGCTTAACCCTCCAAACCATGAAGTTGGAGTGCTAGAGGGGTAATTTCAGCTGCACCCTCTTTTTTTTCAAATGTTCTCCTCCACAGAGCAGGAGCGATGGAGAGAAAGGGATGGACCAGACAGAGCCTTTTCTTCTGACATCTGTGGTGGTCCTGACCCAAATGGGGCTTATAGCAATATTTGAAACAACTGTTAAAAATCAATCCATCAAAAGAGCAGATGGGAGACTCCTACGCTACTGCAGAAGCAGCTGGCATTCTGGCCATGGTTTCCGGTCCTCTGCAAACTTGGTTTTCCAGATCATCTGATGCTGGACCAATGGCATGCAAATTCAGCAAACTCTGGAGTCTTTTTTTTTTTTTATTCAAACATCCAGCATAACCTTGGTCTCTCCAGAAATGACTTCCAGATAGCTTTCTTGAGGGAGATTCTCAACTTCATTAGTGTTCACTTTGCTGGGATACCTGAAGCTTCAGGGGCATCCACAGGGTGTGGTCCCAAAAGTCAGGACGGGGTCTGCAATGGTGCCATTGAAGTTCCACCTGTTTTTGATGTACCATGTAAAAAACAGGCAGAGCTTTGATGGCACTGCTGTAGCCACCACCTTGACCTTTTTTTGACCATGCACTGCCAATAGCCTTGTGCAGCTGATGTGATGACGCACAAACCCAGCCAGTGTGGTGAGGTGGGACTCCTCTGCTGGAGATACAAATGGAAGAGGTTTAACTGCATGGCCAGAAAGGGGCCAACTCCTTTGTATGTAGTCAGCTTTGATCATTGCACCAGGGTGAATAGTCTGTAAACCTCTAGAGCCATGTTTCCCAATCTTGGCCACTTTAAGATGGGTGGACTTCAACTCCCAGAATTCCCCAGCCAGCATGCCAGTAGCCTGTAGTAGGAGGGCTGATAATGAGGAGGGCTGGAAATTGTAGTCCAGCAGCATTTGCAAGGCCACAGAGCCAGGCCTGTCTAGAGGGACACAAGATGGGAGATCTTCTACACATGGGGCAAGTCCACTCTTCCAGCGTGAGTGTGAGCCACCCATCACTTCTGGAGGACCGTAACACAGGATGGCAGCCTCACCCTACCACTGGCCAGCAGGGAATGCGACCTCCGCCTAGTTTTGTGGCCCTTTTCTGTCTTGCACTGGCTCAAGCCTTGCTGTCCAGGTGGTCTGCAGCATTTCAGATCTTTGCAAGCCTCCCCCCTCCAAAGGGCTCCTGGGCCTGCAGCCAGAAGGATCTCTCCCTTCCCATCATTAGTGACTGCCCTCCTCCTCCTCCCTCTCCCTCTCCCTTTCCTTCTTTTCTTCTCCTTCTCTTCTTTCCCTCCTTCTCCTTCTCCTTCTCTTTCTCCTTCTCCTTCTCCTTCTCCTTCTCCTTCTCCTTCTCCTTCTCCTTCTCCTTCTCCTTCTCCTTCTCCTTCTCCTTCTCCTTCTCCTTCTCCTTCTCCTTCTCCTTCTCCTTCTCCTTCTCCTTCTCCTTCTCCTCCTCCCTCCCTTATCCTTATTCTTATCCTTATCATCTCCTCCTTCTTCATCTCCTCCTCTTCCTCCTCCCCTCCTTCTCCTTCTCCTTCTCTTTTTTCTCCTTCTCTTCTATTTCATCTTCACCTCCTCCTCCTCTTTTCCTTCTCCTCCTCCTCGCCTCCTCCTCTTTCTCCTCCTCCCCCCTCCTTCTCCTCCTCTCCAACTAACCCACCCTTTCCTAAGCTTTGGGGCTGCTCCACATCCTTCCAAGAAGTTGTTTTGGCCACTGATTATTCAAGTTAGAGCTGAAAAGATGCAAGATATGGAAGCCGCAAAATCAGATGGCCCCAAGTCACAGTTTTCAACTGTCAGCAGAGGGACTATAAAAGAAGACAGCACTGCACAGAGGACAAGATTCCCAGTCTTCTTTCACTAGCTTTCCTAAATCTACTCTAGAGCCAAAATGGGTGATGCTTGGAGACTATGTTCCCTTTTGATTGTATTCTTGTCTACCTCCTTGGGCAGTGCTGGTAAGTAGCCTGAAGCCCTATTTTCCCAGGGATTTCCATCTTGATTGGCTGAGGCAGGAAGAAATGAAAGCAGCTGCAAATCATAGAAATGTCCTTAGAGGTCATCGAGTCCAACCCCTGCTCAATGCAGGACCTCCTAGAACATGACAATGAACAGGCCAATGACCCTCCAGCCTATGTTTGAGGGCCTGTTCTGTTAACTGATAGCTCACATGGTCAGGAAGGTCCTCCTGATGTCTATCTTGAACGTGGGAAATGTCCATCAGTACATGGGCAACCTCACTCCTCATGGTGGTACCCAACCTTGAGCAAAGCAGCTGGGTTTTTCCAAGGGTGTATGGAGTCACTGAGAGTGGGAGGAAACAAAGGAAGCAACTCAAGTGATTTCTCCAGCTGTGGTCCTGATTTCCAGCCCTAGTTGGAGACTTCAAAGCATCTCCTCAGCTGTGGTCTTTCTGCAAGGAATATAAGTTGTAGCCTGCCAGCAAGCCCTATTCTGAAACCTATTCTGAAACAGGCTTCCCCAAGGCCCCATTTAGAGAGAGAGCCTTCATCTTCCCCTTGATTGTTTTACAAATGGATTTTAGGGACTGAACTGCAGATTTTCCGCAGAAGAGCAAAGACTGTTTTGCTCCTACTGTTGGGCCAAGAAATCATCTTGCGTTATCTTCTCACGTAGCTTGATAAAAGAGCATTTGCTTCTTTGCCCTTAATGATCAACACAGACTGGGGAGATTCATGGTAGAGGGACCTCCAGGGACATCCGTGGGGCTGTAGAATGTAGATCCCACCTCACCTACACCTCTTGGCAGGCCCCCCACGCAGCCGGATCGTTGGAGGACACGAAGCGAGGCCCCACTCAAAACCTTACGCAGCAGCTTTGAAAGTTGATGGAAGTTTTGGATGTGGGGGGTTCCTCATTGCCCCCCAGTGGGTGTTGACTGCAGCCCATTGCAACGGGTGAGTTTGTATTTTGGATGAACGGTTCCCTAATAGGGGGTGGCTGTCCCTAGTAAGGAGGCCGAGGGCTCTGGGAGAAGTGGATTTGATCTTCACAGGCGTGGAAGAGACAGCCGGGAGTCCAGCGTCCCACACCACGTGCTGAAATGTGGCACCCGATAATCTCGCTATGATTTGCAAGGGTGATTTTGGTTCTGAGTCTGTGGTGGATTTCTCTTTTTGGTTTTCATTTCAAGAGGGATTTCCGTCATTCTGGGGGCGCATGATCTGGACGCCGTTGAAAACACCCAGCAAGTGATCGGCGTTGAAAGATACTACCAGCATCCCAGTTACGCCATAGTGGGGGGCATTCCTTTCAACGACATCCTTTTGCTGAAGGTACGAGCAAAGTTCACCCTTGGCGCTCGGCATTTATGCCATCCCGATGTCAATACGAGCACCGTTCCTTTTTCCGACTTGAATCAGTATACAAAGTGAAAGAGCTGAGTGTGCAGTTTTCCATATTCGGGCACCCTCGAAACACACACCAAAATGCAGGCATCAGAATGCATGCAAACCGTACTTCGAACAAAGTTGCTCCAATGATTAAAAAAAAAATCTACTCAGATTTGCAGATTTAAGACACTGCAATTAACAGATTTATCTTCCATACTCTTTGGTGGGGTTTTCATAATATTTGTTGGTAGGACTTGCTAGAGAGAAACGCAGGAACTCTTCAAACAGTTAACCTTTGAGAATACTGGACTCTTTTTTCCTATGAATTAAAAAAATATCAGGATACGTTTCTCTTTGGCATAGGGACAAGAACAGACAAATGAATATGGGCAATTGGATAAGGCTGGTTATTTATTTGTTTGTTTGTTTGTTTATTTATTTTCAAATTTAGTCACTGCCCATCTCACTCAGTTGTTGTTAAATATATTTAATTGTCATTAAATATATAGAATATAATGGTGATAGTTTTAAGTGACGTACATTAAGTCAATATGTCAATTTTAGGGTCTTTTTTTGTTTTGTTTATTCTTTTGATTTTTGCTTGTTTCGATAATAGAATTTAATATTTATTCATTCATTCATTCATTCATTCATTCATTCATTCATTCATTCATTCATTTCGTATGGCAGTCCCTCTCATCATAGTGACTCCGGGTGGCTGACCATACAAAAATGCAATGCAAAATAAACATCAGAAAAACGTGTCTCCTCTAATAACAACCAATTAATGATATTATCCACTGAAGAGATATATACAGTATTACCTTTTTTTAAAAAAAAAAAATGTTTGTGGGGTTTTTGAGTTGCTGTCAGCTGTTTTCTCTATATTTCCTTAACAATTGCAATAAAAATTAAGGAAAGAAAAGGAATGCCATAATTAGGAAGGGCTGTTAATGCTTACCGTATGAACATCACAGAAACCAGAAGGAAGAAAGGGCAAGATATTTTGGCCCCAGAGTTTGGAGAGGTGCAGCCTAACCACGAGGAGCATTACAGATGTGCACCCCTCTTGTTCACACCTGCGGGGCTAGTGTTGTGTTGCCATGAGGCTGCTTTCGCCATTGCCCGCCCTTGCCCTCCCCTGCCAACCCCCTGCCAACCCCCCCCCTTTCCCCCCCCCTTTCAGTTGAAAAAAGGAGCAGAAACCAAGGAGACAATGGATTGGCCTGGGTTTTCAATCAGGGCTTTCCAAAAGTTTTAGACAAACGTGTTTGTCCCAAATTCTCCACCATTAGCTGTGATTCCTAAGAATTCTGGGACTTGCAATCCAGGATATCCTTGGGGAATTTTATCCATGGGGCAAGCAAGCAGGGATGTCCACAGTGGGGGTCAAAAAAGTCAAGATGGTGCCCACAGCCATTCAGCCAAAGCCTTGCCTTTTTTTACCTGAGCCATGACTTTTTTTTTTAGCGATTTTGTTTGACGCATCTACAAAAGCTTCAATTGCATCTTTGTGCCTGCCATCTTGACTTTTTTGACCCCCCCTCCCTGAGGACACCCCGCAAGTAATCTTTTTTCAGCGTATGGGTGAATTGTTCTAAGCGTTAGCATCATCTGAATCAAGGGCATCCACAGGGAAGGTTTCAAAAAAGTCAAGATGGCAGCCACGACCGCCTGATTGAAGCCCCGCCTCTTTTCCACATGCATCATATGAAAGGGGTGGAGTTTCAGTCAGGCAGTCATGGCGGCCATACTGACTTTTTTGACCTCCCCTGTGGACACCCCTGATGGATAATTTTATCCTGGCATTGTGACGCCTGGTTCAGTCTTCTAATTCCATTCACCTTTTGTACAATTCCTTTTCTTGGAAGATTCCTGCACAGCGACTGCTACTTTCTTCTGTTCCCAAATGATGGGGGCCTCAATTTTGCAATAAAACAGCTTTTCCCCAGGAAAATAAATTTAAAGTTCTAGAAGCGACTGGCTGGCATCAAAGCGGTGCCTGCTTTTAGAGGCTGTTTTTCATTTCCCATCTGAACAACCACACAATCTCGAGGTTTAAACCATCATTCTTCTGCAGCTGCAACAGCTGGACTATTAAAGGAAGCAACACTCGTTTTTCTATTATGATTTCGAGACCTTGCTTGTCCAGCCTATAGTTTCAGCCCATTGCCCTATGTCAGTGTTTTTCAAACTTGGCGACTTTAAGATGTGTGGACTTCAACTCCCAGAATTCCCCAGCCAGCATTTGTGGACTTCAGCTCCCAGAATTCCCCAGCCAGCATTTGTGGACTTCAGCTCCCAGAATTCCCCAGCCAGCATTTGTGGACTTCAGCTCCCAGAATTTCCCCGCCCACACTTTTGGGCTTCTACCAC